TATTGTAGAGCTACCTGTCTCACAAAGCGTGACTCTGGGCAGCATACAAACATATTAACAATTAAAACCATAAAACATTTTGCAAGTGATTTGGCCTCTCCATTGGCCATTCCTTCATCTAGCCACTCGGTATTGTGTCAGTTTGGTGTTCCTTCAAAGAGTTCTTTGATTATACTAATGTATATATTAGTGCAGTCAATCCAAAAGAAGAGGACAGGAATGAACCTCATATATTTTCATTATATGAGGTTTATCCATTTAACTAATTCTGGATGTAGAACCAATGAAGATAGATGTATCTTCAGGTTGGCCAGTTGAAAGTTATTTGGGCAAAGCAGCATTTTGGTTTCCAGAGTACAAGGGAGAATGTATTAATGTGGGAGGAAAAATTAATGTCTTTTTGGTAATGGGAGGATGAGGGAGAAACATCCATTAGGTACTTTTTTTTTTTTTTTTTGCAGGTTGTTCAGCTTGAGGAACTGCTGGCTGTGCGTCATTCTGTCTTTGTAGTGGGAAATGCAGGCACAGGAAAAAGCAAGGTACAAAGCATATCTTTCCTCATTTGAACTGTTATTGAAAATATTATTTTTAGGCGAAGTGGCAAAACATCATTTGCTTTTATTTCAGCTAAGCCCATCAGTACTTTTGTGAAATTGCAGTGGCTAAATGTTGTTGTAATCAAGCTAATCATGAAAAGAAAGTGATATTTTTTTTCCATTGGAATTCAAGCTATCTAGGGATTAATCAGATCAAATAACAATTTCTTTGGGGAAAAGAACCCTTCTAACATCTTTTAGTGCAAGAAAGAGAATATCTTATGGGCTACCTTTCGTAAGGCATTGATGACCTGGCTCTTGCCCCAGGCATTGGATCAGAATGTTAGATAAGCCTTTTTAAAGTGATTTATATAATTATTTGATCACAGGCTTTATTTGTTATGGATACATCAGCTGCATATATTTACTATAGCATATTTTAAATTGTTGTTTTTATTATATTGTTGATTTTTAGGTGGTTGTTAGCTGCCCAAGGTTGCATGGTGAATTGGCAGCCATATAAAATGAATGAATGAATGAATGAATGAATGAATGAATGAATGAATGAATGAATGAAAAGGCAAGAGCAGGTCTGAGATAAAATTGTTAACAATTTAGGAGAGCTTTTTAGGGGAAGTGATAGCCTACTGAACTCTGATTTATCGGTTATCTCTGATTTTCCTGAAGAACAATATTTTTATGTTTGTCATTTCCCCATTATTCCTGCTTAGTCTCTAAATGAAAC